GACTCATAGCAACCCTATAGGACAGAGTTGAACTGCCCCATAGGGTTTCCAAGGAGCACCTGGTGGATTCGAACTGCTGACCTTTTGGTTAGCAGCCAAACTCTTAACCACTATGCCACCAGGGTTTCCTAAACCTGGTAGTCTTTTATTCAGAAAGGAAAAAAATACTTATATCTCAAACATTTTAACATAAAAATAAATATATATTAATTTGCAAATCTTTCTGACATGTGTTGAGAGCCTTTGCTTTGAGACTGGATCTACTAGATGGAATACTATATCTTTATTACATAAACCAATATACTACGCCCATAATGCATCTTTCACCAACTTTAGTTTCCATTTCTTTGAAGTGGTGAGAGAGTTTATGAGGCAGTCTAGTCCCAGTCTTTTATAATTATCTTGCCTGTCAAATTTGTGAGCATTTATTTGGGATTATTTGCTTGAGTTTTTGTAAGTATCAGCTTAGTTTTCATAGAAACAATTCTTTTTACCCTCATATTTCATTGACTTGTAGAATAGTTCCATTATATCAGTAAATACAATTATAGCAATAAATAGAACTGACGTACCCAGGTGTCGGAATAGCGGCAACTGAAACTATAACTCAGCTAGTAAGGCGAGGTGGAAAGGTATTAGAGTAGCTTCATAGCCGGAAGCATTCAGTCTGCCTGCTGTGTGTTATCACTTAGAGGGATTGGAGAACATAGATAAAGAGAGTTCTTGTGGACCCAGAACACAACAAAAGTGATTTAGAGATATCTTTAGCTTTCTTAAATCAAGGATTGAAAACTCACATTCCTAGAGGGGCTGAGGACCCAGTAAACCTGAGGAATGCATGACCCCTCTGAAGAAAGCTTCCAGAACTCAAGCTTCAGTCTATATTGACATTTGAGAATGCAGGCTTGGTGTGACCAGGTCTCCTGAGTGTTTGTTTTTAAAGAAAAGCCCAAATAAAATGATAGCATTGTGAGATTTTTCATTAAAATAATTGAGTGAGCATGGGGAGCAGGGGTAGGAATGGGTGGGTATGTAAATAGACAGAGTTGGCTATGGGTTGAAGATTATTGATGCTGGATGATGGGTAAATGGATGTTCAGTATACTTTTCTCTACTTTTGTGAAGGTTTTAACATTTCCATAATAAAAAGTTTTTAAAAACAGAAAAAAAGAAATTTAGATTTCTATGTGAAATCAAATGTTTGCATTTTTCAGGTGGCCAGTTCTTAATCTTTGGTCTAGATCAGTTTCTGCTAAGAAATGTATGAATACAGGTTATGTTAACTATGGGCCTTTATGTGGTATTTATAAGTTTAGTAGTAGTCTCTATTCCTCTTGAAATTGATCTTTAAAAAAAATTCTGTACCTTTTGGATTTTGTGCCTTTGCATATACTTGTGTATCACTTTTTTGATTCAAGGCTGTATTCAACTTTGAATAACCTTTTCTTTTGAACCATTCACTGGAAACCTTTAATCAAAATTATTGAGTTAAAAAATAATTAGGTAAAATTTGATTTTTAAAAATAATATATATATAACATGAAAATTATGAGGCATAATAATAAAGTGAGTACCCATAAACCCACCATCCAGCTCAGGAAGTAGAACATTACCAATTTCATTCATGTGCCTGTGTTCCTCCCCAGCCCCTGCCCCTCTTCCTTCTCTCTCCCTAGGCTTATTTATTTGGCTGGTGTATTGATGGAACACTTTTTAAAAAATCATTAGTAGTTTCAAAAATGCATTAGAAAAATCAGATTTTTGTGTATGTGCTAATTGGTATAAATTGTTATTATTGCCTGTTATTTTTCTTGACTTGAGCTAAGTATGGTTACTAACAGGTTCTCAGCAAGGGCCTCCTGCTCACCTTTCCTACAACTCCGAACAAACGCTTAGTGGTAAGATTGTCCTCTGTGCCTGTGTACATTCATGAAATAGCTCCAGTTATATGGTGGCTATAACTGATCAAAAGAGCTGACTGAAAAATGTGATTAGTTGTGAATTTCCCTGAGTTAGCAAAAAGCTCAGTTTAGGGAACTAGCGTCCCTGGTGATTTCTGGAAAGCAGTCTATTAATAGTTTCCTCCTTACTATCATTAGATCATGATCCCACATGATTTCTTGTGCTGATCTCTTTGTTTTTTTGTTTGAGAATGTCTAAGTAATTTAGAGACCGGAAGAATTTGTTGCATTTCTTCTGTCAAGTATGTCTTTTTCCAGCATTTTGCAGGGGGGGTGAATTTTTTTTTAAATTGAAATCCCATCAAACTCTCTCATAAGTGGATTTTCTGACTCCTTTTTTTCTTTTTCTTTGTGTTGTCCTGCAGCTCCTGGAATGAGGCCACCCATGGGAGGCCACATGCCAATGATGCCTGGGCCCCCAATGATGAGGCCTCCCGCCCGTCCCATGATGGTGCCCACTCGGCCAGGAATGACTCGACCAGACAGATAAGGACCAAGGGCAGCCGCTTTGTATCAGTTTTATATTGCTTATACTACTTCACCAGGAGCTCATGGTGCTTTGACTCTGAGTGTTTTCTAACAGCATGACAAGAAAGACTTGCTACTCCTTTCTATCAAAGAGAGAATAGTTTTGGAGTGGAGTAGTAGACAAAAACAAAAGAGGGCAATTTTTGCTTGTATTGTGATTTGTGAAAATAAAATTGTCAACTCTTTTAGTTAAAAATGTGTTCCCATTTTTATCCCCTCTGTATTCTTCGTGTATTATAAAGGAAATGAAACATTCTAATTGTGTTTCTGTAGCTCATTCTATCTTCAGCATGCTCTCTGCATGAGATTCTATCCCTTGGCTGTAGAAATGGGTTCCTTTGGGCACCTTGTCTTATTTAGTAGAGTTCTCTTATGAAAGACTTTGGGTAGATCTAACACTTGCTGAACTTTTGTTAATTAAAATAATAAACAGCACAAATTTTTACATAACTTAACGCTTTATGTAGTTAAGTGCTAAGTTTTAAGTCTTAGGCTGAAGTAGGGGAAAGCACTTCACATGGTTTGTCACCTCTTTTTATCTTTCGTATTTCGAATCATTATTAAAAAAGAACAATAAAAAAAAACACCCATGCCAGTTTGAAAAACTGGGTTAAGATCTACTCAAAAATATAACTGTATGTATGTGTGTCTATGATTTTAAAAAGATTTTTGTCTAGAAACTGAAATGTCAGTAGGTGGATTGCTTCTTTTCCTAGAAACGTGTGAATACTTTGAAGAGGGACTAATTTAGGCAAGGAGACCACCTTGTCTAAGTAAATAAGTGACTAGAAATAGAGATCCTACCAAAGAGATGATCTTTTACAGGACTGTTCGTGCCTTTTTAGTTTCTCATTTAATCGTATCTTTTTAAGAGTGACTTAAGTCTCAGTAATTGATAGTTTATATATGTGTGACTTTTAAGTCCAGAGAATTCTGTGGCTCAGATTTCTTGCTAAAAACTTATGCAGTCTTAAGAGTAAGTTAGGGGGAAACCTTGCCAACTGAGCTGTACACGACTAAGCAAGTTTCTGTTTTGGATGGCTCCGTCAGGCTCAGCCACCTGAGTGTGTCTTTTGTGTATGCAATGGAAGCCCACAGATAACCTATTTAGTTTTTTTTTTTTTTAATTGTGCTTTAAGTGAAAGTTTATAATTCACGTTAGTTTCTCGTACAAAAATTTATACATACATTGCTATGTGACCCTAGCTGCTCTCCCTGTACTGTGACGGCACACTCCTCCTTTCTACCCCAGATTTCCCATGTCCATTCACCCAGCTCCTGACCCTCTTTGCCTTCTCATCTCACCCCCAGATGGGAGTTGCCCATTTAGTCACACGTATCTACTTAAGCTAAAAAGCACTCTCTTCACGAGTATCATTTCATGTCCCATAGTCCAGTTTAATCTTTGTCTGAAGCGTTGGCCTAGGGAACGGTTTTAGTTTTGGGCTAACAGAGAGTCTGGGGGCCATGTCTTCAGGGTCCTTCCAGTCTCAGTCATTAAGTCTGGTCTTTTAACTAGAATCTGACTTCTGCTCCCCACATTTTTCCTGCTGTGTCAGGGCCTCTCAGTTATGTTCCCTGTCAGGGCAGTCATTGGTGGTAGCCAGACACCTTCTAGTTCTTCTGGTCTCAGGCTGATGGAGTCTCTGGTTTATGTGGCCCGTTCTATCTCTTGGGCTAATATTTTCCTTATGTCTTTGGTGGTGTTCATTCTCCTTTGCTCCAGGTGGGTTTGGACGAATTAATACATCTTAGATGGTTGCTCGCTAGCTGTTAAGACCCCAGATGCAACTCACCAAAGTGGGATGCAGAACATTTCCTTAAATA